ATACAACTATTGAGGCCCTGTGCGGCACCTGTTATTCTTAAGTAAAAAATCTGAAATAATCAAGGGCATTTTTTTTTTAACATTTCAAACTTATTTCTATGCTTTGCTCCTCAAAATCAAAATTAACGACCACCCTAATATATATATATATGGTTGTATAAAAATAATATTACACTCCACCATTCTTCCTGCCTTTAACTTCAATAACTTCAAAAATAGTTATCCGAAACTGGTAATCGACAAGTCAAAATTTTTAGTACGTTATACTTAATTTAAAAAGTTAATAAAATGTATATGTAAAACATTTAAAATTCATAAGCTGCTGTCAAAAAAAGTTGGGAGGGGGTATAAGCAAAAAAGTTGTCAAAAATTGATATCAAATTGTATAAAAAAGTTTTGAAAAAAAAAAACATTTTTATTTCTTATTAAACCCTATGAGATTGAGTGACCCATGATAAAAAATCATACTGTGTTTGTTAAAAATGTTAACAAAACTTAAATAAAACTATAAAAAATAATTGAATGTGTTTTTATTTTTTAATCGGATGGGCGTGTAATTGAAATTTGTCCGATTTAATCTACAGTGTTTTTTAAGCACTTTTTTTTAACATGAATGTAAACTAAAATAAGTGGTCCCTCATGCAGCTAAAGTGCTAATGAATATTATGGTTAGGTGTATAAAAACATTTCATGCTAGTACGCAACCTCAAAATAACGAGGTATTGTTTTGAAACCTAATCTATCTTGTTTTTTTGAAAATCCAGGTTTGATGTCTGATTTCTGAATCAATGGCTTACGACAACATTTCGATTGTATAGACTTTTTTTTTTATCATACATGCCTAATATTATATTTAAATTACACTATAATATCTCTTTATATATAAATTTCTTCTGTCCGTGTTTAAGTATTCAAACTCTGTAAACGGCTGGACAAATATTTATGAAATTTTGTGTGCTCGATTAAGTTGATTCGATAAAGGTTTAGATTCACAATTTGATCCGATAGACCATGTTTTTAATTTTTAATTAATTAAAATGATTAATTATGATTATCAATAGTATCAATAGTTATCAATACATCTCTATGGTTTTTCATACCGCAGGGATACAATGATCCGATCAGCTGACTGTGTGTGTATTTGATATAAATATATATTATATATATATATATATTATAGTAAATTATAATGTACTATAATGTTGTATACAATTTTTTTTTAAATTAATTGTAAAATAACCAATAATATAGATGAGAAATTTATGGCCGGCTGGTTCAGCTAATAAGGCTGGATTTTATCACCTTTTTTTATTATTGAGTAATATTTTTTACTATAGTTTATGGATGAAATTTACAACGCGACACTCATTTTTAATGTCGCATTAACGTCACGTCGTTGGTAAGTTGTCGAGCACAGGACAAGAGTGTTTTGCACGTACACTGTATATACTATATAGTATATTATACACATAAGAGCCACTCACGACCTACTCCACAAAACTTATGTTCACTACGAGTAGCAATCGACGATTTATACTACGTTATCGAGTGGTAAAACAATAATTTAACGCGATAAATAAACGTCGATTGTATTATTATTATTACTATTATTATTATCGATACTCAACGACGCTGTTTAAATGAAAACGTTGAATATTTATCGTTTTAAACATATTCGGCAGGCGTATATGTGTGTGTTGTTATAAGCCAGCAGATAAACAAACGATAACGATAATAACTAATTGGTCCAACGTCGTTGTCACTCGTCTCACTTGCTGCATTATATATTATATTCTATATTATACACATCATCAGCATAATATATTATGTACATCGTTACGGTTATTATTAAGTGACCCGCAGCGTTCAAAAAGATATACAAATTTTGCCTCTAATTAAAAAAAATATATACTTTTTTCAATCTCGGAACCGATTTTTTACACACTTTAAAAAAAAAAGCACACTTGTTTGTTGAAAAGGTAGTTAAAAAGTACATCAACAATGGACAAACCGACCGACGGATTAAATATATACAAATATTACTGATTAATATAATATCATACTTTAGGATCAATAATATTATAATGTTATGTAATATGTGTATTTTAAACGGAGGAAATAATAACTATTCATTATAACTCATATAGGCAAACGTAAAAAAAAACAAGCACAGTAAAAATCCTTTTTTTATTCTAAATTATCTTTATAAGTATAAATAATTTACTTTGATCAATGCGTGTACAATTATCAGTGAAATAAATAAGCAGCTATGCAAAACACTTTTTTAAGTGAAAATACATAAGCGATATTTCATCAAAATAAAATAAGCAAAGATATAACAGTTATAAACCGATGCATTAATACTTGATAAAAGTAAAAAATATCGACTTGTACAAACACACATAAGTGATTTCTCATGTATAATACCTAATTAAGCCCGCCATTTAGCTCAAGTTGAATGATAAACCAAAAACGACAGCTAATTAATATTATCAATTAATATTTATTGAAGATTACTATAAAAACTTCATTCTAGAAAATAAATGAGCTATTTAGGTATAACTGAAGTGTATCTACATATTTGTATGCCTCCAATAATTTAAACACTTTTTCAGTTAGGACTGGAGTAGAAAAACCTAACCTAACCTATAGATATAATCTAGCTATAGTAGCCTCCTCGAGTCCCACTACAGCTAGATTTTTTTTTTACTCAAATTATTATAGAAATACGGTTGTAACGTATACGTTTAGAATTCATTTACTGCAACAATCGAACTAAACAGTTGTAGTAATATAAATAAATAGCAAAGCTGAAATAATAAACTCTATTGTGTGTTGAAAAACGACAAATATTTACCAAGGCCATAATCTATTTACATATTAAAAACACTTATTAAAAAAAACGCCAATCGGTGTGAAAACGTTTGAAATTTTAATCGACGAACAATAAAAGAAACGATGTTAATTTGTATTTATAAAAAACAAACGAAATAAAAAAATCGATTTAATATCCTAGTATGAGTCAAGTAAGCGGCTTACTAAACTTAAAAAAATTCATATAAAGCATAATGACGACTAGGATAATGAATAAATATTATCTACTACTATATTTATACGAGTGATTAAAACAGATTTAGAATTATCAGAATTAGTGTGCTCGTCGAGTTAAAAGCACACAAACACTTGTTTAACCGGTTAACATGCTTTTAACATCAAGCGTTTTTAAACTAGTTTTAGATTCAGCTAATTCGGTCCAAACCGGGCATTAAGGCAAGAAAATGTAGATATGTCACTATTTAAACATTTGATTAATGTGAGAAATGCGTCTCCTGTAAAAACAAGGTTTTTTGACATTCAAGGTACACTTTGAGATTTTTTTTTTTTTTATTAAAATTAAAATGTTTCAGCATATTACATGCTATTACAAGTTTTCTTACGTTCTAATTTTTTGAGATCTAAGAATGGTATTAGGCTGTACAATTTTTTTCGTGTTTCTGTCCCTTTTTTAAATATTAGCTGAAGGGTAGGGGGAATAAAAAAAAAATTATAAGTTTTTCTTGCACTGAGAACTAAAAATTGAGTTTCTTAAAATGTGGTTGTTTAAAAAAACAAAAAAAATATTCAATTCGGTCAAGTAGTTTTCGAGAAAATGTTCCTGAAATAAAAACTCTGAAATGTCGGTAAAACAATGTTATATTCATTAATTGCTGTAAATGTGGATACTTAACCTAACCAAAAATAACTTTTACCTTGATATAATCTAACCCAACTAAAAGTTTTAGGTGTACCATACATAATTACTTAAGGTGTTGAGAAATTGTACCTATTAAGAATTTAACCGATTAAGCGGTATTGTTACTAGTTACCTATCTATAGTAGTCTAAACGAGTGAAAACGATAGTTAAGTTTTTTTTTTTTGTTATACCGCTATAAAAAAAATTGCAAATATCGCCGCCCTAGGTCTACTGCAACTTATTTTGTGGTAAACAGCGATCAGATACGAACGGAATTATAATAATAACAGTAATACACTTGTCGAAACACGACTCACGACGTGTGGTGTATGTACACACACATACACACACACCGTAGGTGCGTTTAAGGTTATTTTCGATTGAATCACATGTATTGGCAATGTTTGCTATTTTATCTCCGTTGGAACCGCGCCACGTTCTTACTGCTTTACATTCTTTGCCGAATACGAATTTCGTTTAAAGGTTGTTGAGCGAGTTTAATACATAAATTGTGTACTATGTATACATCATATTATAAGTTTTTTAAAAACAAAACGTCGTGTATTCATATCGGTACCCATCGTTTTGAATGTAAATATTAAAAACAGGGTAAAACCCCCTCAATATTTTTTTTTTTATCAAACCTAGTAAAATTTAGCGTTAAAAACACCTTTGTAATTTCAATACTATACAAACAATGAGTCTCGCTTTACTAATAATTTATGACTTCGAATAAATTAAAATAACACACACACTCACTCGATATTTCTATAATATATTTATTTTATAAAAACGAACAATGTAATCGGGGTGTTGTGGTAACGAAAGAATGCTTTAGACAATAAATATGGCATATACTATAAGTAACACGCAAAGTCATAGCAGAGTAAGCACCAAAAAAACCAAACGATTTTTTTAAATTTAAGTCCGGCAAATGTTTAGTATTTACCCCCCCCCCCTCCCAAAAAAATGGAGCGTTAACACAAAAATTACCAGGATCAGGTTTTTTCTTTTTAAAAAACCATGACCCAGTTAAGTTTATTGGGTTGTAAACAAACCCATATTTTGGGCAAATACCGAACATTGCTTTTTATTTCGAGTTTAACAATAATTGTTATGCTGATTTCGCATAGAATGAACCAAAATAATTTTCTAAATTTATTGCCTACTTTTTAATTTAAGCTCCGGTAAAGAATATAATAGTATAATATTATAATTAAATAAAAATATATAAAATTCAGTTTGGTCGGCTATACCGACGCTTACCTTGTCGCCGTCATCTTCGCTATCACACTGCAAAAAATACATAAAACAAATTAGCTGATATATAGTATGTTAAATATATATTTACAACAATAATTAATAAATAAATAAAATAATTAAACTATTTTTTAAACGGAACGAGTAACATGCGTGTTATGGCTTAATTTTTTTTCACCGAAAAAATCAGATATAATAAAAAAAAAGTACGTTTAACCGTCAACAGGTTTTCGAACAGTCTTCTAACGCAAATAAAACAAATCGGCTGTCTGAAAAATACACTAACGATTGTGTACAAATAGAAAAGTCATCAAACATAGTTGCAAATAAAATCGATCAATAATAAATGTAATATTAATGTCTTTGGAAAATCATTGAAAATGTAAATAGATAAAAAAAGTCGTCGACGCCAGTCATCGTAACTGCCATGTTTTTTTTAAAAAATGAAAACCTGTCGGAGAATTATATATTATAAAATTAATATCACCATTATTATAAAATACTCACGATGTATCCTCTTCCCGAACTGCAATTGCTACTCGCCTGCAACAAAAAAATCGAAAACGAACTTATAGCAAATGTATAGTTAAAATAATGTTTTTTTTAATCAAGGCCCACACAACTGAACCGGATGCTGGTATGCGCTATTTCCTTTTTTATTACTACTATTTAACCGATCTCGTTGTACGATTGGTTTGTTTGACCAACATTGGCAATCGACAAGATACATATCTGTAGGTACTCATCATGGTAACTTTGATCACTTGTGCAACAACCATAAACGTATACAACCTTATATGTACAAGCACGAGAATAGGCAAAAAAAAATCAAGCTCAAAAATGTATGGTTACAGCTAAAAATATGGGTTATGTATATTATATATAGACAAAAACACATACCTGCGGATCAGGTTTTTTTTAAACTCAGGTTTTTTAACTTGGTTAAGTATATTTATTAGTAAACCTACTACACATCTTAAATTTGGTTGAATACCAAACAACTGATAGGTTTAAACAAGTAGAATCTGCTAGGATTTAGATTTGAAGTGTGTTCATGCTAAAAATTATATTCCCCCAAACAATACAACAAATTCTGCCTTTTTTATGCTTGTTGACCAACACAACAATTGTATGCGACTGCCAAACCAAACTTAACCTTTGCAATAACTGCTAGACGTTTGTGCTCTTGATTTTACTTACTTTTCACATTGTTTAATTGTTCCATCTATCGTTCGAATATGGGCCTCGGTTTATTCTATCATAAATTATATTTTTATGCTAATATTTAACTCCCTGAGAATTTCAATCCAATCGATAAATTTCACTAACTCATACTTTTCGTTTTTAGTTTAGAACATTACAAGAAAATATACATATAATTTGAAATACTTACGTCACTAGATCTATCCCTAGAACTAGATCGCCTGTGTCCGCTTTGGCTGAGCGAAGAGGTTTTAGCGCCGGAGGGTCTTTTGAATGACGAGTTGACCAACGAAGAATCGTTTTCTCCGCCATCGCTGTCATTCTTCAAGTCCAGTGACGACGAATTCTAGTACAATAATGAATTTTCCCATTGTTAAGCAGATCATCAATCGTTCAAAGTACAACTGATAGCCGGCTTACATTATGCTTAGTACAAATCATTAGTAATTGTAAATACTATTTAGAAATGAAATGGGTTGCTACTGCCTACTTGTCATCAGTAAATAAAAGGGAGTTTTATTCACTGGCACTTACGGTTTAGTACTATTTTTACCTGTTGACACGTGGGGTATTAGTGTGAGTGACAAGGACTAATGATTAGAACTAAGTATCGTGTAAACTGATCATTATTGTTGTCCTACAACTGTTTAAATAGTTAAGTAAAACATAAATAATCAATATGAAGGCTTTGTTTGTTTAGATTCGATTCTCGCGAGAGACAGAGCAGGTAAATGTGTAAGGGCCTACACGGTTCCTATTAGAACTGAACTACGTAACTTTCTATTCACAACTTTACTATACTAAGTTCCTACGACTTACACATCGTTCAAACCAAGCACAAACAAAACAAATTTCCTTCAGTCTTTTTCAGAATTGTGGCCGATAACAACTTAAATGTAGTTGGTGTGATTATAATCCGTTTGTTTTCTTGTGAGGTTATTTATAAAACGAGTAACGGAATAAAATGTTATTATAATAATTAATTTTAAATTAATATACGTGGTTTACCTTAAACTTTATAGAATCACAAATCATTATCTCATTAAAATTACAAATTAGATACTTAAACCTTCTTCGCCTAATCCCAAACAAACAAGAAATCCAGTCAACCCTTCTTCCCTCGCTCACCCCATTTTATTTTTAAAAACCACACAACTCTATTTTTTTTATACATAACATATAATTTATCCACTTTTTCTTTGGTTTACTTCAACCTTTAAATCCCTCTACATTAATCTCTTCTACCATTTTTACTACTTCACTTTTTCAAATATCATTATATTTAAATTAATGTTTATTCTTGTATACTCATTACACACGTCCATCTCAAAATTATCGTTTCAGCTACTTCCAGTTTCCTTTCTTCTCTCATCTCCGATGCCCAATTATGTAAGTTTAAACGTCGTGAAGTAAACGAATAATATGTTTGATTTGTCCTACTTGCTCTGTCTCGTGTGTGAGAACTCACCAAATCCCACTCGAGAGTCACATAAAATTAAAGTTGGCGATAAATCCGACCTAGTTAAGTATTTTAGGCGTACACATAATATTCAACATACAAAAGAACACATATTTTGGGTTTGATATCAACAATTTTCTGGGCTTGAACAAAAGAAATATCACTTTGACTTTTTAAGCGTTGGTTTGGTTTAAATTCAGTTTTTCGGTATACATAAACTACAATAGAAACCATATTTTCCGTACAAAACCAAAAGTTTGCTTGTGTTTATTCCATAACTCTGCGTTGTATCTAAAACCTAGAACTTACCTTGTTGTGATTAAAGTGGTTGGGCGTCGTAGGTGGACTGGGCACGCTGTATTCGGTTTTGACCGGCGTGACCGGAGTGCTCGAATTGCTGTCGTGGTGGTTGTTGTTGTTGTGGTTGTGCACGTGATTCCGATGGTGGTGTTTGCGGTGTGAAGACGGGTCCAAGCCCAGAGTCACAGCGCTTTTAACCAAACACTGTTGCACGCAAGTCTGAAAAAAATAAGTACTGGTTAGTGCTTTATTTTTAATGTTAAAAAACAGACAATTGCCTGCACGTTTTGTTTTGTTCTGCCAATCCTTTTTTGAAACTGTGATTATGCGCTTCCCCCTCCCCCTTTTGTTGAAAGAAATCACTCGTCGTAAGTAACGAGGCGCGATTTGATAAGTGTCGCACGGCGGGGCGGCTTAACGTTTATTATCTTTTGTTGTTGCACTTCGCCTCGTGTTCTCCTTGAACATGTATGAATCGCCAGCGTAAACTCCAAAGAGCTTTTTAACGAAGCCCACAACAACTTATTATTCACACGCCGTCCCTGTTTACTATTACATAATACAATAATCATGTACAAGACATACGATTTTACACTAGTACTTGGGGCCGCCTTCAGCACACTTTACGTACACCACAAACGACAGTCGTTCTTCCCCTATCTAAACTTAATTAGAATTGAAAAACAAATGCAGTCCATAATTGGGGAATGAGTAATCTACCTCTTCGGCCGTCATCATTATACGATTGCTTACAAATGGTTAACACATAGGACTTTTACACTTCAACAAAAACAGCCAACAGAATACAATGTCACTACCAAAAAAATAAAACTACTGGGCCTTAAGTTTGTTTAATTTAATTGAAAAATGTAAAATATGAAGATTCTTAAAGAAGAGCATCTTTGTACAGTTTGTTTTTCTTTATCTTATATATTATAAGACTAGGCAGATTAATATGCATTAATAGAGCTTAAAACCAACCCATACCCCTCCACATAAAAAAAAACTATTTAAATCAAGGTTTTAAACGTTTTGAACACAAATCATTTTTAAGTAAAACATTACGTTCCAAGCAGTTTTTAAAACAGCTATGTTAAAATGATTTTCTTTTAAAACAAATCTTTTCTGGTATCGAGTAGAAACTTTATATTGACTTGTGAAATAAAAGCGAATCAAGATTTTCTTACGAACGACTTAAACTGAAACTTTTAGATAAAGTTTAAGGTAACATATGGTTTAAAATATGTCGACACTACAATACCACCACTTATCTAGCAAAAGAGTAAATTCTTGTTACAATTTTTAATATACAATTTGATTCACTTACTACTTTTCCTTACATTTACTATAAATATATATATTATACAATTGGAAAACAACAAAACTAAAACTCGAAAAAGCCTTGCGTTTTTGTTAACGCTCAAAAAATTATTGGCAAAAAATATAGGTTTATGAAGTTCTATACGTATTCAAAAATACTTGATTGGATCTTGCTTTTTTTTAAACTGGGTTTAGCTGGGCATAACTGGGCCACCCTTGGTATATTGTGATATATTATGAGTTTCAACCAGTGAACAGTTTTTATTGACTGTTAATGGTAACTTGTCAATGAGCTTTACACAATTATTTTTAAAATACTTATATTTTAATAACAATGTTTCTAGTAAGGTTTTGATATCGTATTTAAGAAAATAAAATATACTCCAATAATTAAAATGTTTTTAATTCAGACATTTTTAGGAATACTGTTACAAAACTACCAAAAAAATAGTAGTCAGCTGTAAAATTACATAAAATTAATAAAAACAATTATAGGCAATACTGTATTGTTACTTAATTAGGAGCTTTCTTAACTCAACGTATTAGATCTATTGCCCTTCTCATTTTCTTACTTTCAGTCCAAAAACTTCGTCCAAAAAAAAGAGTAACAAAGTAAAAGTTGCGGCTTTTCGACTACATACCGGCAGTATTATATTATAGTTTCTTATCTTATAGAAGAGAGGTCACGATCACTTTTCTTATCTGCCTTCACTCAGGTCCATTACCGATTACTAATGTTAATCTATTTAGAATTGGACTCATCACAATCTTTACAGAGGGAAAGTATAATTTAAACTCGGGTATTGCAACTAAAATTAGAGAATTTTATTAAGTATATTTGTTATGTGTTTTACACTGTGAATAAACAGATTTAAATAAAATATCATCTATAAACAAACCGCAACTGCTCGAAACCTAAATAATTAAGTTTAATAATATTATGTTATGCTTTAATATAAATATAGGATTCACAGCGAGTATAATACAGTTGTCGGTTTGTTTGCTTCGGGTACGGTCGGTTAATTATCGGTAGGTCACGGTAAGTTATTATTTATGGCCAAAAAAATTAAACACACCGAAAGTATAATAATATTATTTGTAAACGATTGGTCCCAAGCGAATTGGTCGAGTCATTAATCTAAAGACGGGCATGTGTTATTGTTTTGAAACCATTGTCCGACCTGGGGGGATTGTTCTAAAATCAAAACCAGCTTAGACCACGGTGTTGTCCCCTCAAACTGACTTGTAAATCCCCGTTAAGCCAATCGTTTTCTTATCTTCTTATTCCTTACCTCTACTCTCTAAATATTTAGGGTCGACTACCCTAGATCACGACCTACTGAGGACCCCCATACGTTAAAATCTCTGATGATTTTTTTTTTTTTTGCAACCATTATTGCATTAACCTTGCTTGTTCCAATTTTGAAAATTAATTGTATCTTTCGCCTGATCTCAGTTCTCTTTTTGTGAACTATTGACGCAGAATCGCTAATCGAATTGAATTTTAAAATGGTTCCTCAACAAAATCCGTATTTTTTTAAATTTAAAATAGCTTTAGAAAATTCGTATTGATGAACAAAATTCCGAGCCCAAAAAATTACAGCGGGGTTATCTTTGTTTAAGCCCATAAAATGTTTAGTATTTACCCATAAAAGTGGATTTTGTTGTGTTTATGCATAGAGCAAATGTTCTCAACAAATATTACCGTAGCACCAAATATGTGCTTAAAATATTCTTCCGTGAGCGTCCTTGTACTCGCCAGTTATTATCTGGGCATAAAAATATTCTGAATAATATATTTATATTTTAGCCTAAAACCAATTATTATCAACAATTTTGTAATAAGAAAAACAGCTGTAGTTTTAATAATGTTGATTTCAGTAAATAATTATAAGAGTCGAGACTAATTATTCATTTTATTTTTATTTTTTGATAATCATAATTTTATACATAAATCTATTTATAACTGTTGTGTTTTAAGTAATAACTTAATACTAATGTTTTTATCTTAAATTATGTTCTAAACATTAATGCATAAAAATATTAGGATAATGGGATTTCATTTTAACAAAAACTTTTACAATAAAATGTGTGTTCATTATTATGAGGATGAGAAATTATTATACAAAACAAAAAAAAAAAATATATATATACCGCAAACTAGCATTATAAATACGTTTTACAAATCAGTAGATTTTGAGATATTTTTTCTAACGATAAAGTGTAAAAAAATAAAAAGTTTAAAATACTCTTGGTATTAAAAAATATTCCCGAGGCATTTCTCTAGAATTAGCTAAACCCGGGTTTTTTAAAATAAACCCTCATTCATTTAAGTCTTTTTATGTATTATATTGTAACATTGCATATTTAAGTTAATATATAAACTATCCTACAAAAAAAAAGAAAAAGAAAATGCGCTAAAAACGTTTGATGTACGAACTATAGGTCAGCTGACTCCCTAACTAACATTCACTCTATCTGGTGTGTGTCTATTTTTCTCTATTATTATCACCATGGGAGCATTTCTGTGATAGCTGCAAAACTTATTTTGCTGCCGTTGCCGTTTGCTGCGTAGTGTGTTGTGCGGTAATTAGCGTTGTTTCCAAAGACCTTTGAAATGTAAAACTCAGCACAAACTATACTCGCTCGGGTTCGTTGTCTTTACGGGTGGCATACCATTATTTATACACACAATCACGCGGATTACCACCGCTAGGTTTTTAAGTAGTCCCTACGGTTTATTATGCGTGTACATTACCAACAACAGTCGACACACTTGTGTGTAAACTATCACGAACGATGAAATATTTTTATTATTTTGCTGTACCGCGAATAAGTAATTATGTAAATAGTGTTTCGAGTATCTATCGGAACGCAATTGAACCCACCAAGTGCCGAGGGAGCCGTAAAACCATCTTTACTTTAATTACTTTGCCATATAAAAGCCAAGTGGCTCCGAACCGTAAAATCGAAACGGCACAACGTTCCGCCCTGTATACATGAATTTTCCAAATACACAAAAACACACATATGTTACACGGGGTGATTAAAAGACATTACATTTATCTTTAAATAATTGCGATTTTGTAGTTTGTCTTTTTACTCATGTTTCTATGTACAAAATTATAAATTTACCAAATATTTACCCTTTTATTAAAAGCATTTTACAAAGCTCTCTACATTTTTAACCTTACAAGTCAACGTATATAATTATTTTTAATTAACTACTTTTTAAAATAAGATTAATTTGCCGAAAATGTCGACTCTGGTCGACAACCAGTTTTTAATAATAAATTTTAACCTCATTAAAGTTTTAAATTTAAACGGAACAAAAAGTATACTTCCCTCCTCCACCCTTCTTTCCGGCCTAACTATTAAACTTTAAAAAAAATTATTATTCATAACTGGCTATCGCCTATCGAACATTCGAAAATGTTAGTAATTTATTAAGTTAAAAAGTTAATAAAATATATACGTTACTATTTCATAAATCTCTGAAATTTAACAACAAAATACACAAATTTGAATATTGTCTAGTATTGTAAAATAACATTTACTTTAATGTCTTCAAAAAGATAAACTACAAAATTGTAATTATTTTCAAAGAATATACAGCAAAATATACACACACCACTTATACGATATGATGATGCAATAAACTGTTTGAAAAAATATTTTTTGGGTATATGCATAAGCCTAAAAAAACCAATATACCCATATTTTCAGATAAGTATCGAACATGTGTGGGGCTAAAAAAAACCCCCGTGATGTTATATTATAAGTTTATAGGATTTTTGAATAACGATAGTCATAAAAAATTAAAACCTAAATAGTTTTGATTTGTCTATCTAGTTATAAACCTAAAAAATAGGAATCAAACAAAAACAGCTGGTCTTTTT